TTGTCCTTTTTAGGACAACATTCTCCAGTGACCACAAAACTGTCCTTTTCAGGAAAACACTCTCCGGTTTGATGATTATGAGGTCAGATCTTGGAAAGTAGGTCAAACCAAGAACTTTTCAGTTTTTCAGCTAACCTACTTTCCAGCACCCACCTCTTGTGTGTAGATGGGTAGGTGTGTCTGTATACTATATCTATGCCTATGTGCTATAATTTTCAGTCAATTTCACTTCCCCCACTAATTCTTAGTAAATATACATACAGATGATACCAGTGTATCTCTAAATATCATGATGCCTGGCAACTGATCTCTCCTCTGATTTAGCTTTAACAGCTCAATGGCTTGTAATATTCAATACCTCCAAAAATAAGCTAGTCATGTTTCATCACCATTGATGAATTGCAAGACAAAAAGGATCAGAATGAAATATGATGGTTTAAGTCATGGGTTCTTAACCGGGGGTATGGGAACCAAATGCTCAGGGTATGGGACTTGATTTCTGGGTACTGGTAGTTCCCCACCCCCGCCCTTGTGTTTGACAGTTTTTCATTTTTCTTTTCACAGATTTGGTGCAAAATGTTGTCTGTCAAAAAAAGGAAGTGGAATGATTCATATGCAGGTTTTGGCTTCACCTGTGTGACAGAACGAGATAGAACAGAAAGACCCCAGTGCATGCTTTGAAATTTGATAATGAGCAATGGAAATTTAAAGCCATCAGGACTGAGGGAACATTTCGAAAGCAAACACAGTAGTCGTGTTGGCACATCGATTGAGGCTTTTAAGTTGAGAAGAGTTCGCTATGATCAGAAAGCAACTCTTTCGTCATATGGGTTTTTTGCTCCAGAAAAACCTCTTCTGGAAGACTCCTACAAAGTTTCTTACATGATTGCCAGAGAAAAGAAACCCCACATAATAGGGGAGACCCTCGTGAAACCCTATGCGCTGGAGATGGCAAAAATTTTGCTGGGAGAGGAAGCAGCGAAGCAACTAAGTCAGGTGTCTAACATTACTGTACTGAGGATAAAGACATATGAGTCAGGACATAACAACCCAAGTTGTCAGCGAGATTAAACAAAGTCCTGCAAAAATCAGCATGCAGATCGATGAATCAACTGACATGTCAAACCACAGTCAATTGCTTGTATGTGTACAATATGTACATGAAAAGAACATCAAGGAAGAGTCTTTTATTCTGTGACCGACTCGAAACAACAACCAAAGCAGTTGACATATTCAAGCTGATCCAATCTTTCTTTGATCACCATGAGTTGGCATGGGATTTGATTGGGTCTATTTGTACGGATGGCACTCCTGCCTTGATTGGCAAAAAATCTGGATTCAATGCTATGGTCAAGGAGAAAGCTCCACATGTGTTCACCACACACTGTGTTCTACATCGCCAAGCTCCTGCATCCAAAACATTGCCAAAGAAATTTAAAGAGGCAATGGGAATAACTGTGCAGTCAACTTTATTCGTGGACGTGCATTGAATCAGTGGCTGTTTAAAAAATTCTGTGATGAGATTGAAATGTTGCTGTACCACACAGAGGTACGTTGGCTGAGATGTGGCAGTGTTTTCACACATGTAGTGGAACTCCGGGATGAAATTCTCAAATTTCTCAAGCATCAACAATCCCCTCTAGAAAATCATTTTGAAGATGAGCATTTTATTGTTAGCCTGGGATATTTGGCTGATATTTTCAGTCTTCTCAATGATTTGAACACATCAATGCAGGGAAGGGATGTGGACATCATTCAAGCCAGGGGAAAGTTGTGACATTCACAAGGAAATTACCTATCTGGAGTTGCCATATTCCAATCCTTTACAATATCCTTATTGGAGATGTTAAAACACTACCTGTAGAAATAATTCAAGAAGTCAAGATTCATTTGATAGTTCTAAGTACAAATTTTGAGGGTAACTTTTCAGATATTGATGATCTTAGCATGGATTCGATTTGGATACAAAACCCTTTTTCATTTGATATATCGAGAATGGTGATAAAGATTTATCAAAGGATGATTTCATTGAATTCCAAGAGAACCCAAGAAAGCTGATTTTGAATGGGCTGGGATGGATGTCAAGTAATTTTGCCGTGAACAAATCTGCTTACCCAAGTTTGCCAATTAGGACAATGCATGTTTTGGTTCCATTCACAACTACGTATCTCTGTGAAACAGGATTCTCTGCATTATTAAATCTGAAATCAAAATGGAGAAATCGACTTGATGTGTCAGATGACATGCGAGTAGCCTTGTCAGTAACTGTACCATGATTCCATGCTTTGATTGCACAAAAACAACAGCAAATATCTCACTAGATTAGTAAAAGTCAGTTTTATTGTAGTCAAGGTACTAAAAAAACTTGCACGTTTATGTTCTCTTCCTTTTTCTTGTGTAATAAAACTAAATTATAACCTTGCTTTCAGTGAAAAAAAAAATATAATAAAGTTATCAATGCTTATGGGTTTTTTTTTTTCATGTTCTATTCCTAGCAATCCATATCTAAAGTAAAGTAAATTCAAGTGATTCAAATATTTGGAAGACATACTGACAAATAATAGGATTGATGATAATTATTTCGACAGTCAAGTGAAGGGGGTATGGGACGATATTGGACAATCCATTGGGGGTCTGGAATCATCAAAAGGTTAAGAGGTTGCAGTTTTTTGTGTATATCTATCTACTAGTGAGTTAGCCCAGATGACTTGACTCACTTTATAGTCCACCAATAGAAGGTTAACCAATCAGAAGACATAGAATATTCAATCCGTCGTGTATAAAGGCAGCCATTTTTGTTTACCCTACCCGAATGTCCAGTGCCAGCTTGTCAGGTGAAGAGATAACAGAAGGACGCTCTGCTACTTTTACCAAAATATCCACTGCTAACCTGAACAACGCTTTCCTACTGTCTTCAAAATATTCACTGCTAACCTCTGGATTCTATACTTGAAGACGACCGTCATCATGGACAACATAAGAACCCCTGGTTTAAGTAGTAGCTATGAAACATTTCATTTCAGATCTACGACTTGATTTCTGAATTGTAATGACCATAGACTGGCTTCGATAAAAAGTGAGAGAGTTAGGTCTGTTCAGCCAATCCATGGCTAGAAAAGAACAAAATAGATTCATGATTTTCTTAAAGGAATATTTTTCACCTAATTTTAAACTTGGTTAATTGACACTACAGAGTCCCCACAAAAACAAACAGGAAATTTGATGCTTCTTTTCTTTTTATGTGCCATGTCCTTTCAGCACTTAGGCGATCATGGCTCTCCACTTCCCCCTATTCCTTGTAGCTCTCAATAAGTCTCGTCCCTCTGCCACCTCCCCCAGACCATGTTCTGTCATCCACTTGCTTAAACCTGCTAGGTATGTCATGCCTTGCTTTCCCTTGTTTTTCTTTCCCTCTATTCAACCTGTGAGTATCAGATTCTGCAGGCCCTCTTTTCTCATTACGTATCCCAGAAACTTCAGCTTCTTCTTCCTGATGCTAAGTATAAGCCTCATCCTTGTTTGTATCCTTTCCAAGACTCATCATTGCTCACATGCTCGGTCCATGACATCCTCAGCATCCTTCTGTAGAACCACATTTCTGTTGCCACATCTTTATCTTTGAGGAGACCGTCTAACATTTGCTGCCGTAAAGGAGGACAGATATCACGTAACAGCTCAGTACTCTTTTTTTTTGTTACCAAAGAGATCCTCTTGTCTTGCAAATTTGGTGCAGTTTATTTAATTGTTGGAATTTTTGTTACAATTTTGTGAAACAAAAGCATAAGATAGAAATTTAGTCGCTTAAAACAGAACAAAAACACAAATGTTAGATGTGACATTCAAACTATAAAAGTTAATTTGTTGTATGTTAGTTAATTTTTTTTTTTTCATCATATAGTAAATCTAAAATTTCCTGTTTTTCGTGGAGCACTCTAGAATAACATTTCATCACCACTAAGCAGACAGTAAACTAGCACTAATCCTGAGGAGTAGTCATACCCTCAAAGAGGCTCCTTACCTCAAATGCCTACTAGGTCTAAAAACTCACTCCTGACCTCAAATGGAATGTAAATAACAATTGCAAAAGATTCTGGAAGAAAGGTCGGTTCCATCTATTGTTCCAGAAAATACCAAACCCCTGCTGCCATACTGTATCTTTCCAAGAGTCAGATCAGACCATGAATGGAGTATCACTGCCATATCTGGAATGGTGCTGGTCAATCCTCACTGCCCAGCCTCAACAGAGGTTCAAAAGTGCTTACACAGCCTGGTGAGTGATGAATTATTCTCCACCCTGCAACCCCTGTCCCACAGACAATACATTGCTAACCTCTCATTATTCTAATGCTATTGCTATGGCAGCTATTCCGACGATTTACATTCCTTAGTCCTACCAGTTCAGACCTTCACAACTAGGACAATATTCATGGTGGCAAACTATCCCCCATCCCTTTAATGTTCTTTTGATAAGGAGTAAGTTTCACTAAACTTCTTCCACCAGAACTGCTACTTTGTGGAACAAACTCCCAAGAGGATGCTTCCCTGACAATTACAATCTTGGTCTCTTTTATTCTACATATCACCATAATATGCATTTCTTACTCCTCCTCCCTTACAACAATCTCACTCAGGAACTCTCTTCCTTGAGTGGCCCTCAGGCCTTGTATTGCATGAACAAAAAGAAATTAAGATAGTTATTTTAAATCTATACATGTTTATCTCTCTGTGTCTATGATTAATTTATTTGTTTTTTTACAGCTTATCAAACTTTAGCAGGTTATTTAAAGCCAGCAAATATTTTTAGATTCTAAGAATTCTTTGGCAGATAAGGATTTTTCTGATACAAGTCCTACTATTTAACCCATAACTGGGAGGAGAAGAGGTGGATTCATACTTTTCCCAAGGGTATTTGTGCATAAGTGAATATAAAAAACTGGAATTGGAACTCAGTTATCTATAAATTCCGAGCCATTATCCATTACACCAACTGCACATCAAAGCTTACAGCACCTGATATTCTCAAGCAGTTACCCAGCTAGATACTGACCAGGCTCTACATTGCTTAACTTTGGTGATCAGATGAGAACTGGTGTTTCAAAGTGATATGGCCCTGAACAATCTGCCTATGATTATGCATCTAAAACACTGTGTCCAAAGAGGAAGTGGTGCAGAAAAGTCCTCACCCTCATCAAGAAACACTTTTAAAAAATAAGTAAAATTTGAAGTTTGACCATTTGGCTAGATTTTAGAAAGTCAGTCTATCGCTATTTCCAAGGCAAAGGTTCAGATGAGCTACATTCCTTAGTTCCCCCAGTTCAGACCTTTACAGCTAAGCCTCTCACTACTTTATCGCTATTTCTATGGCAAATGTTCAGACAAGCTAAATTCCTTAATTCCACCAGTTCAGACCTTTACAGATAAGCCTATCTATACTCTCTCTATATATATATATATATATATCCATGGCAAATGTTCAGATGTACTACATTCCTTAGTTCCATCAGTTCAGACCTTTGCAGGTAAGCCTCTCACTAGTACATCGCCATTTCCATGGCAAATGTTCAGACAAGTTATATTCCTTAGGTCCAGCAGTTCAGACTTTCCCAGCTGAAGAAAGTTCTATGCTAACAATTTTATATCTTCTATTAGGTCATTTGGAATTTTTAGCGCCAATTTTGCACGTGATTATCCTCTTCACTTCTGTTACATTTGCACAATCTTTCCCCGTTCTGGGTATCAAAAATTCCTGCTAGAATGATGAATGGGTATAAAAGGACTACACAGCGGAAAACTACACGAAAGGGATATCAGTTTAAGTAAATGTAAGGATTGCTTTATAATGACGAATTATTTAATGTTATTCAGAACAGAGACTAACTTGAAAAAGCTTATACAAAGGAAAAAGAAATGGGAAAAACTTATGGTGATAGACATGAAATTAAAGGGTGTTCTAATAACTTGGACTGATTTTAAATGTGAATTAAGTTTAAGTGTCTGATAATTTTTTTTATTTTTTTTCAGATTTAACAACTTAAGATTTAACAAATTTATGACTGCATGGTGCAAACATTGTGCAACATATGATCATTGTATTCAACTATCAAGTAGTGACGTACCAACTTCCAGCACGAAGAGTTGAGACCCAAGTTGCAGAATGGTTTGAGGTGCAATCAGCAGTGTCAACTCCTGAAGTTGTTGATCAAGCTTGTGACTTAATTTTGGTCGATCAATCAATATTGGAGAAAAGAATTCTTGAGACACTAAAGATATCTAAGGAATACATTTCATGTGGAATTACTGAGAATTTGTGTGGTTAGTTCCTTGTCATGCACTTAATTACAACTAGTTGTTTGCTGCAACAGATATAACCAGGTGAATCAGGTAATTCGTCAGTATCAGCTGACTATGTCATGCATGTGAACAAGTGCAAAAAATGTCAGTAGATTTCTGTCCTGTTTCACTTGAACAGAGATTAAGTCTTTCTCTGTTTGATGGTGAGCGTCAGTTGGATTCAAGTTTTATTATTGTATCCCTGTAGAAAATCAATGAAATCGATCTCTCACTGAATGTAGTAAGCCTACACTTCTGGTTGCTGGTTATGTTTGAGTTGTTGGTCAATTTGATGTGGAGAAACTTTCTTTGATAAATGGACTGAATGTGTTCTGTAAATCTAACAGAATTTAATGTGAAGAGAAAAAAAATAAATCTACAGAATTTAACTTTATGAAATAATGCTGGAGGAGTTTTCTGTATTCACTGTGTCTTCGCTAAAATGTGGAGGTATCATCAAATATGATCAGTTTCCTACACTCACATAAAATGACTGACAAGTGAAATGTGCACTATTCACAATATTAGTATATTTGCTAAATATTATTTAAAAAAATTAATACCTTAGAAATCACACTTCCCTGCATTCCATCTCATCAGGTCTATTCCTATGCAATTCTGACTTCTTGAAGCACATTTTGTCTTTGCGAGCAAAAGTATTTTTCTTTCTATTATTTCTATCTAGTAAATCCATAAAACAGTTCCTGGCATCCAAAGTGACACTCCTCTGTCTATATTGATACTGTTACTCTTATTATTATATGGGTAATAAAGTAAATATGGTAGAGTGGTTTACCTAAGTACTCACTCACCCAATGTGAGCAAAAGATGCCTACCAAAAAACTGAAGAAAGTATAATGAAACATGAAAAATTCATTAAAAACAAAGAGTACTGAACGGCAATGTAATATCACTCCTCTAAAATGGCAGTGAATGCTGGACAATCTTCTCACAGATGAAGAGGAGGCTTGAAGCAAGAGAAACAAAGAAAATATTGCTGAACTGCAATGTAATATCAATCCTCTAAAATGGCAGTGAATGCTGGACAATTTTCTCACAGATGAAGAGGAGGCTTGAAGCAAGAGAAACAAAGAAAATATTGCTGAACTGCAATGTAATATCACTCCTCTAAAATGGCAGTGAATGCTGGACAATCTTCTCACAGATGAAGAGGAGGCTTGAAGCAAGAGAAACAAAGAAAATATTGCTGAACTGCAATGTAATATCAATCCTCTAAAATGACAGTGAATGCTGGACAATTTTCTCACAGATGAAGAGGAGGCTTGAAGCAAGAGAAACAAAGAAAATATTGCTGAACTGCAATGTAATATCAATCCTCTAAAATAGCAGTGAATGTTAGATGAAGAGGAGGCTTGAGGCAACAGAGATGTGGTTCTATAGAAAGGTGCTAAGAATACTATGAAGAGAGCATGTGAGTAATAGGGAAGTTTTAATGAAAATAGAAATAAAAGAACACTTAGAATCAGAAATAGAGAATGGAATGAACACATTATGTGGAGAGTGGGCTTGAAATAATACTACAAAGGATTATTCTTCATGATTATTTGTAGAACATTAGAAAAAAACAACGTAAATGAATATATGTAACACCCTAATATAAACTATATCAGAGTCAGATCAAACCAAAAATGGAGTATTGATGTCATATCTGGGCTGGAGCTGCACAATCTTCACTTTCCAGTCTTGAGAATTCAAAAGCATTTGTGCCAAAATTAAGCATATAATCCTACCCACCAACTCTATAACAGCTACCATTGAAAACAGTTTATCCAGCTATGATCTGAAACATATAAAGATCAGAAAAAGTTAAAATTTCTAGGATACATAATCAGGAAAGAAAGCTTGGAGAATTTGACACTCACAAGGATATATTGAGGGTAAAGAAGGGCAGAGGGAAAGAGAGAGTAACTTACCTAAATGACCAGGGAGTGAAAAGGTTAGTAAAAAAGGAAAAAAAAATTGGCAACAGCTGCAAAAAATAGAAAGTTGTGGAGGGCCATGATCGTCCACGTCCTGAAGGGACATGGCACATAAAAGACAACAATACAAAGCTCACAGAAATAAGCCCCTCTCTTTCCCAATGGCATTAGTGCTCAACATGAACTATTTCCACTGAAATTCAAACCTGGTTTACCAATCCTGTTTCAGTACTGATTAGCATTATGCCAGCTCAAGCACCCTTCCACAAAGTACAAATAAGGTTATGTTTAATTATTTAAATGTCATCACATTTTCTATGAGAACATATACATTTCACTCCAAAATGGTGTGCTAATTTCAGTTTAAATTGCAGTTTCTTAATGCAATCCTAAGAATTTTTATACAGTTTTAATGTTTAATATTTTATACAGAGAGTTTTAACATTTTTTATAATGGACAATTTTAACATTTAATATTTTTTTTATATGGAGAGTTTTAACATTTAATATATTTTATACACACAGTTTTAACACTTAATATTTTTTATACACACAGTTTTAACACTTAATATTTTTTATACACACAGTTTTAACACTTAATATTTTTATACACAGTTTTAACACTTAATATTTTTTATACACAGTTTTAACACTTAATATTTTTTATACACACAGTTTTAACATTTAATATTTTTTATACACACAATTTTAACACTTAATATTTTTTATACACACAATTTTAACACTTAATATTTTTTATACACACAGTTTTAACATGTAAAATTTTTATATGGACAATTTTATTTTTTGTTTGAAACAAAGAACATCTTTCATTGTCTTTTAAACGTCATGTCACTTTATGACAGAGGTAGTCATGATCTTTTTCTTATTATCTGTGAATTGCTATGACTTCTTGGGAAAGATAGTTGAGTGCTTTCCCATTGCCTTCTCCATGGAATTCCAAGTTTAATTTCTTTTACAAAGTTTGCTACCCATTGCTAGAGAGCCTAACTTTACTCTACTATTTAACCTAAAAACAAGGTGGATTCATGCTTTTCCATGCCAATGGCTGCTATGCTATGTACAGATCCTAAGACAATCTTATTTACGTGCCATGTCTTTCAGGACATGGAACAATAGTTTATACTACGGTGTTACATATATTTGTTCATTTTTTTTTTCTTTTGATGTTCTGCAAATTATCGCAACAAACAATCTTTTATAGTATTATTTTGCTTCTTAGAATCAACTCTGATCCTCCTGTAAAACTGTTGCTTAACATTATAAAATTTTATTTCAGATTAGGCACCCCTTTGAGATGTAATGCCAAGTAGACAAGAATGAGCATATTCAACATCTCTTTGCTTTTAATCAAAGTCACAAAGCCAAAGTTGTTCGAGACATTTGTGCTGTGTATGGAGATGACTTCATTATCCACAGAATTGCACAGAAATGGTTTTCCTATTTCAAGGAGATGTTCGAACTCGCATATTTTCCAAGTTCTGACCACCTTTTTCAGTTTGATGAGAACCAATTGCATGGATTGATTAAAGAAGAATCGTATCAGACCCCTATGGAATTGGGTCAGAAGATGGTTATCTCTCATGTTTCTGTCACTTGTCATTTCAATGGGAAAGGTCCCCAAACACGGTGCATGGGTGCAACATGCATTGATAGAGAGAAACAAACTCTGGCACTCCTTCATTACCATAAGTTTATTCACTTGACACCAAGCTACTTGTGGATACAAAGAACTCAGTTGGGAAGTCCTGCCATATCTACCATATTCTGATTTACCCACATCAGACTACCACACTTTACAGTTGTAATTTAAGGGGTGT